CAAAGCTCCCTGTTAATAGGTATTATATTCAATGATATCCTCTTAGAGTTGACTTTCAAAATAATTTAGAAGTGTTGATTGTATACTGACAATGTCTTAAGCTTAAAACATACTCTTGGGACTAGAAAACAAATGAAAACTCTCTGCCAATGAGTCGATTCTGATTCATGGTGACCCTATATAGGGCTTCTGAGACTATAAATCTTTATGGGGCAGACAGCTTCATCTTTTTCCTCTGGAGCGACTGGTGGGTTTGAACCACTGACTTTCCAGTAAGCAATCCAAAGTGTAACCCACAGTACCAAAAAGACTTCTTTGGGAGTTAGTTGTTGCTGTTTAGTGCTGTCGAGTCAGTTCCAATTCATAGCTATCCTGTATTAGTGTTTCCGAGGAGCAGCTGGTGGGTTTGAACCAAGGATCTTCCATTTCAAACTGACCTTAAAGTTCAGTGCTTCTCCTACAGTGTCACACCAGGACTCCTTTGGATCTAGTTGTTGTGGTTAAGTGTCGTTAAATCGGTTCCTACTTGTAGTGATCTTATATAGGGTTTCCGAGGAATTGCCGACCTTAAGGTTCAAACTGACTTTGTGGTCCACTGCATTATCCTAAAACGGTCCAGTACATTATCTTATCTGGGGTCCTAAACAACTTCCACATTTTTATGGTGAAGGAAACTGTCTAGAGGGAAGAGATTTTAATCAGTGAAGAAGACCTGAGTCTAGAATTTGACAATTCTGAGTCTTCGACCTGTGTGTGGTGTGTGTGTTTTATCATAGTCTTTGTTTTTGTTTTAGTTGCAATATCTTGCTTCTTCTTAACTAGAGACAGAATGGAAATTTAAATTAAAAATATATTAACCAATTGCCATTGAAATGATTCCAGCTGATGCATCACAGGAGAGTTATATTTCATAGGATTTTCACTGTCTGATATTTTGGAGGCAGAATGCCAGGGATTTCTTCTGAGGTTACTTTTCTTGACTTTTCAAAGTGCCATTGTGTCACTTCTGACTCATAGTGACCCTGTATAGGGTTTCAAGGAATGGCTGGTGGGTTTGAACTGCCAAATTTATGGTTAACAGTCCAGTGTATATACTATAGCACTACATCAGGACTCTGAGGCAACTCTAGATATACTCAAATAGTTAAACTTTTGGTTAGCAGTCTAGCATAACACCCAGGACTCACAAATGTATGCTAAATGTACTAATGTTATATTGCTTCTGATTATTCTATATTATAAAGTTTCATTTTAACCTTGAATTATCATAATGTCTGCATTTCAGTCAAAATTGTTTGATGATTTAGAGTTAGAGCATTTCATTAAATGGCCTTGAAGAGCATAAAAAGGGAAGAACCAATGTTTCTACTACTGGTATACCAGAAAGAGCAAGGATATTTTCTAGCTGAGCCATATCTGTCTTATTAGGGATGCTCTAGAACTGGACTGCTAACCAAAGTGCAAATCCACCAATCACTCTTCAAAAACTCTATACAGGATCTCTATGAGAGGGAACCAACTCAACAACTTTTTGTTGTCATTGTCAGGTGCCATCAAATCAATTCTGACTCATATAGACCACAACAGAACGAAACATTGCCTGGTCCTGCGTCATTCTCACAATTGTTAAAGTTGAGCCTATTGTCACTTCCA